GTGGAACAGTCGGACACACATACACTAACTGCAAAGACTCCCATATTTATTTTCACGGAATCATCCCTTCAGCGAAAATAAAGTATTCTGTATTCACACAGGAGCTTTGCGCAAAGTTTAACTTTCATTTTATTACAGTGATATCACTAAACTCCCCAATGTTTGAAAGATGAAGTTCATTATTACTTAGGAAGCCAGGTCTGCACTTTTTTTATTTGGATCCAGCTTATATGCAATTATCATACATCACAAGAATTTATTTGCTATGGAATCAGTTCAGACAGCAGATATTGTAACAAGCAGCCTCTCTGCTGTTAGCAATGCACATCTCAATCACGAAATGAACAAATTTAAGAGAGGTCTACCAAGTGTCAAAGCAATCAGGCTTGTAGTTTTCAAGAAGTCGTTGGCGCAGATGCTGGACAATTACTTGTATGATCTGCAAAGCTAAAAAGTGAAGTAACATAACACAGGTTACAAGATATGGCAATTTTATTCATCCCATATGTACAAAGCAACTACAAATAAAAGAAATATACAGTAAACTATGCTTCAACTTCCAAATGTATATAAGGTTGTTGGTGAAATGCCTTGCTGCTTGAGATATACAAGGAAGTGTAATAGAATTGTGTTCAGTAAAAAACAAATCATATTGTTTCAATGAGGTGAATATAACAGATGTGTTGAGGGTGCAGTTCTATGGAGCATACTGAGCTAGCTCGTAACCAAGGTGATACAGGCATAAATTATATAAATAGTTCATTTAAAGATGAAAACTAGAGTAACAAATTAAGAGTTTAAAATCAATTGAAATTTGTTTTATAAGTTATAAAAAAAAATTAGATTTTTCAAGATAAGTTCTATACACAGTACAAATTATTAGACATGATTGATGACTTTAACCAAATAACCTGCAATACCTAATGAAAACTTTTCCGAAACTGTACATGGCATTATGCCTGGTACAACATAGATGGACTTGCCAGGCCAACCTGAATTTGACTATTTTACTTATTAACAAATTAGAATGAGACGAGCCCATTCTCAGCATAGAAGTAGTTTGAATCAATATTAACCATCCTTTTTTCTGGAATGACTAATGGCTGAATGAAGGCCAGGTTGGGTCATATGGCAATTTGGTGGTTGCCAGTTTGAATCACAGATGTTGTACTTTCTTTAGATTATATATACACCATGTGTAATTCCTACACAAGCCAACATGGCAAGTGAACATAAACTTTAAAAAGTTGCACCAATATTCTGAATTTGACCGTAATTAGAATGTATCCATTAAAGTCAGGTCCAATAGAGGTACATTTCCCGTTCTAGTCAGGTGAACTGTTGTAGTGCTGTTTTCACCCTGAAACGCAATTATAAGGTAACTGGTTAAAAGCTCAAATCAA